ATCCCACTCCTGACACCAATTTGTTATGTCTCTGTTTGTTTGTTAATTTTCCGTAAATTCGTTCTGACGAAACTTTAGCAACACAAGTCCTTTCTTAAATAAAACTGGTTTATTCTTTCTGAATGTAACTTTGCGATATACTTAATTTCAACAGTCACTCTATAATTCTCAACGAATGTCTCACGTGCTCGACTTCAACAATACTCAGTTCAATTACACACTCTCTGACTGCAGTTCAATTACTCATTACCTCTGTTATCCTGTCACGTTGTGAATGTCTTATATATACAAGACTAACACATATCTAGTAAATGCTAGGGCATTCCTGAAGGAACAGGATATTTCTAGAAAGAGGTGGCGTGATACTAGTCACATGACCTCGCTGATGCAACAATACATTGTTTAGAATGTTAAACTATGGGTACACTGGGGTAATGCTGCTAGAAACAAAAATCTTTGAAATATATTCTAATGTTATCTTACCATTAAGTCCAGTGGAGATACAAGGGAAGGCCTGTAAAGGGAAAAAAAAAAGATTAAACTTATGAGATTTCTTAACCATTTTTCAACTAGCTAAGTTGACTTACTTTACAGTCTTACAAAATATAGCAGTATTAAAACACAAATAACTGTAATTAATTGAATGAAACTTTATAATATTCCTCAAAACTCTTTGATTTATTTTTAATGTTTTGGTAAAAGTTACAGCATTCCTTATTCTCCTGTAATTAGTAGATTTAGTAGAGTACAAATGTACAAAGAAGATCAATATAAAATGCTCCCTCTTGAGGAACACTTCCATGATTGATGTTTTAAGATGAACCAGGTGGTCCAAGGTGGAAAGCTGTCTACGAAAACCATATTGGGTGGGTGAGAGGAGGTTGTTTGATTCCAGGAATAAAACAAGATGAGCATTAACCATCGTCTCCAAAACCTTACAGAGACAGCTAATCAAAGCAATAGGACAATAATTAGAAGGAATCTTGGGATCCGTCCCAGGCTTACAAAAAGGGATGAAAATAGCCTTGCACAATGCATCTGGAAAACAATCCTTCTGCCAAATTAAGTCGAAAACAACTAGAAGAAGAGCAAAAGAGGTGGGAGACAGATGAGCAGCATCTTCTAATGAAAATAATCAGGTCCCCTTGAGGTACTTCTGGACTAATGTTGAGCAATTTGAAGTTTTACCAGCATAATTGGACAATCATAGTCATGGAGATTGTCTGCTTGAATCAAAAGTGGTAATCTTTCAGTCCATGACTTGAAGGCCAAGAAGGCAGGGGAAGATATGGAAGGGCTGGAAAGGTGAGGAAAGCACTTCCCAAGAGTGTCAGCAATGCCCTGAACATCAACAGCTTCCTGGCAATTTGGGAGCAAGATCAAAAGAGAATGGGAAGCATACTTCCCACTGACTTTCTAAATCCTGTCCCAGATGACCTTGGAACTGGTGGTAGAGGTGATGCTGATAGTGAACTTAATCAAGATTCCTTCTGGCTTTGACATCTGACCTGCTGGGCATAGGCATGAGCCTACTGAAAAGCAACACTGTTGTTAAGAGTGAGAGATCTTCAAAAGATATCTCAAGCCCATTCCTGAGCCTTTCACACCTGCTGACAATCATGTGTCCACCATAAAAGAGGATACTATGGGAAACATATCAAGGTTTTTGGGATCATACAAACAAATGCTTCAACAATACAATCAGTGCCTGCCTCCACACAGACAGTAATAGTGGGAAGACTAATGACAGCAGGATCAAGTTCAGAGAGAGTGGTGAAATAGAGTCAGTCAGCTTGTTCTAACTTCTCCCGTAGTACACGAGCTGGGTGGCATTTACTGTCAGTCAGCACCACCTTAGAGGGGATTGTGTTCATTAAAGTCTTCCAAGATGAAGAAGGGAGATGGCAACTGTTTAGTAAGATCATCAAGGTCTGCTGGATCATAATTCATTCCTGGTGACAGGCAGAGAAAACAAACTGGGATAGTACGACCCATGAAGACATGCCTCCAGTGACATGTTGAGTGGCACAGACATGGACTCATCAATTATGCAACTTGTCATTCCTATACAAGGAAAACTGCTGAAAAGTGACAGCATCAGCAGGTCTGAGAAATGTTTCCTGTAAAAAAAAGACACATGGACTCATCAATTATGCAACTTGTCATTCCTATACAAGGAAAACTGCTGAAAAGTGACAGCATCAGCAGGTCTGAGAAATGTTTCCTGTAAAAAAAAGACACATGGGATGATAGGAATCGATCAAGGCCTTAATGTCATCTAAATTAGAATGTAAACCTCGATAATTCCATTGTATGAAAGTGGCCATTTTTATTTAGCAGAAGAACTGGGTGAAGACACTTTTTGTTTCTGACCACAACATTTTCGTTTAGTAAAAAGAAGCCTGTCAACCTCTATGGTTGGGCAGATCTTTGTCATGTCAGAAGAAGGAGATTCTAGTGATTGAGTGTGTAACCAAAGGATAAGGGCCTGAGCATTCAATGGAGGCTACAGTGAGGACAGAGACAAGAGCAGACAAGGACCTGTCAACTGATGTTTCCATGGATGGCAAAAGACATGGTGAGAGAAAGAGTCTGTCGAAGAAATGAAGGATCTGTCTACACCCCCTACTGTTAAAGTAGATGGAGTAAAGCAGCATATGTCAGAGGTGGAAGAGGGAACAGCAGCTTATGTGCCTCAGGTATAAAATGTTGTTTCCTGTTCTCAAATGCAGTGCCTCTTTTTTCTCCACCCATTTAAGGTAAGAAAAAAAGTATGAGGTGATGGAAATCATTACAATCAATGCAGTGTGGTTCCAATTAACAGTCACAGCTGTTGTGGCCTTTGCCACCATAATGAGCACACATCAAAGAACTAAAACAAGAAGTGTCCGAACCACTAGCATTGGTAATATCTAAGAAAATTTGAAACATGGGGCCGTACATTACAGTTAAGATAACCTGCCTTAATAGTGACAGGCAGAACATTTGTAGACCACATTATTCCATCTTTTCAAATGGAGATATGCTGGACAGCTGAGAAACATTGGCTGGAGAAACCAGTGAGAATCTCTGACTCAGGGATGTTAAATACATCTCTCTCTATAATCACTCCTGTTGAGGAATTCAAAGTAGCATGGGGAGTAACCTTGATAGACATATCCCCAATGAACTTTGCCTTCAAAAGGAGTTTGCTATAACATAACATAACTTTTTTGGGACAACATGGGATCTATTGGACCATCTCAGCTGTTCCACACTCTAAACCAAACTAAAGCTGTTAATAAATAAATTTAAGAAGAAAAATTAAAGCTAGCTCTTATCATTTATATACTTATCAAGCTTTCTCTTAAGCTCACTTAAATGTACTGCTTCCACAACATCCGAAGGCCAATCACCCTGTCAGAAAAATAGAGCTGAAGATGACTCCTACCTTGCTAAAATTTATATTTGTGTCCCCTAGTCCTACTATTCACACTGTCAGTATGGAAAGAGATGATGCATGAACTTTATATCAATTTCCTTCACAATCTTAAACACCTCAATTAGATCCCCCTAACTCTTCTTTTTTCAAGAGAGAACAATTTGAGAATTTCAACCTCTTCTCATACGACAACCTCTGCATCCCAGGCACCATTCTAGTAACCCTTCTCTGAACCCTTTCCAACAATTCAATGTCCTTCCTAAGATAAGGAGCCCAAGACTGAACACAATATTCCTAACCAATGACCTAACATTATAATTATGTTCTCTTTAGACTTGTATTCAATATTTCTGTATATACAACCTAAAATCCTATTTGTCTTTCCACTAGCAACAACACACTGCTTGGATGGGTTTAGAGACTGGTCAACTATTACACCAAGATCTCTTTCTTTCATGACACTGTTAAGATTATTCCCATCCAAATTATACTATGATGCAGTGTAGATGTTTAAACCAAGATGTTCCTAGATATTAGCTTCTTGAGAGACTTAGGAGAACCAGTAAGTCCCTCCAATCCATTAATAAAAAGGGGAGCCATTTATCCCAGAGGTTTCTCAAACAAAGAATGAAGAATGAGAAAATGCACACTTATTAGCTTCTTGAGAGACTTAGGAGAACCAGCAAGTCCCTCCAATCCATTCTGAATGAAAAAGAGAGACATTTATCCCAAAGGTTTCTCAAACAAAGAATGAAGAATGAGAAAATGAGGTACAGCTACAGTAGGTAATGGTGACTGTGAAACAGTCTTCCATTTGGGGCATTTTCCAATAACCGTTTTTTTTGTATTTTATTTTAGTTATCTGTTTTTAGATTATCTATGAGAAAAGAAAAGATTTCAGTACCCACTGACCTCACCCACCATGGAGTCTTACAAGGGAATGCACTATACTACCAAAAAAGGACAGAACACTCATGCCAGGGTTTTGTGTGTACTATACCCTCACACCAGTACCAGACTTAATATCCACAACATCTACATCTAGTTTTGGTACTTAGTAATAGGACCAGCTAACTGACTATTGGGGAGGGTGTACCCCAAGGCCATCCATCTACAAGAATTCAAGGATAAAATGGTGCATTGAGGTGCCCCTGATACCACTCAACCACCAGGATCCTTTCCTCCCCTTCACAGGCAACCACGCACAGCAAACACTTGGGTGGATGTTTGGATCCAAGAGAAGATACACTGTACAGAGAAAACCTTCCCCGACAGGTCCACTCACCACAACATACATACATATACACACACACACATATATATATATATAGATCATATTTATTAAAATACTTAGATATCTAATGTCTCCACATCATTCCAGCTCCTTTAAAACATTTTAAAGCCAGTTATACTCAAAACAATAGATATTTCAACATATATATTATTTAACTTGTAAATTTAGTACTAAGTCAGCCCTAGATGAAGATAACAATAATTCTGGCCATTCTTTATGTTAAAAATGACAAATTTAATTTGTCATACACATAAAAAATATCATTCAACCAACAGTAAATATTGTAATTTAAGAACTTTGAAGATTTTTTTAAAATGTATAAAAGATTTTGCTTGTAAAAATTTAAACATACATATATTTTTGAACACAACAAACAATTGTCTATCATTCTTTTTTTTTAATGTTTTGCCAAATAGATATATATTTTTAAAAAGCTTCAAGTCATGGGTTTACAATCTTAAATGCTTCCCATTCAACATGTAGAAAAGTTAACAATGAAATGTAACTAATAAATACAGTTGTGTTAAAGATACATTTCAAAGGTAACACCACAGTTATCTTATAATAAAATTCAGTGTTGCATGTACATGAGGCATTCATGATGCTTGTAAATAGGAATTTTGGGTAGTAGGAGAGATAGAGTGAATACATTTATATTTTTGTACCATTTTAGTAACAAAGTAATAACTTACTATACTTTTAAGTTTATTTTCTAATAACCGATCTAATGACTTGAGGTAACTGCTACAAAGTTTATGAGAGTCTTCAATATTTGGCCCGACTGCATGAATTATATCTATATTTGAAGAGAAACAGTAATGACAGAACAGTGTCAATAAAAGTCAGATATCAATATAGGATCATAATATGGATTTACACAAACACACACGCACATATATTTATATTGATTTTTTCCTTGTAAATTTTGTTTTTTCATTCATACCCTTTCAGTCACTGTTTCAGATATCATTCATGTATATATATATGTGTGTGTGTGTGTGTTTGTGTATATATATAATATACAAAATGCAGCATTAATTTTATCAATGAGAATGCTTACAAATGGATTTTAAATCTAGCTAATGACAACATGCAAATCACTAAGCATGAATAGTACAAGATGAAGAGTCAATATGTCTAGCATAAAGAAAAAATATATAACTATTTTTGAGATGATAATTACAAATAGAAATTAGTCAAACTTATGGGATAACTCAATACTGCCTTGATGAAAAATAAAGTATTTGTAAATTTTGAAAAATTTTCATATAAAGGTAGACTATCCAAATCCTTTATTTCTAAAAAAGATAATTTTGTCAGTAAGTAATAATTACAGTGCTAAGATCTCTTCTATGTTCATTTAAATGTTTATAAACAAGAAGTTAAGGTGTGGTGCTTATATGCTTGTAAAAAACAAATATTTGCTGCATAGAATTCACATTCCTACCCTTAATTAACTTCAATGCTCTTTTAACTACTGCCTACCAGTTGTTTTGTTCAGGTTTTTATTTCTTAATATTCTTATTTTTTTCCAGATTTAACTAACAAGGCTTTGATGAAAACATTTTGGTTTATGCTAAAATTGTTCACATATCTTGCTGCATAAATAATATACACTGTAATTCTATAATCACAGTTGTATGATAATATCATTTTATTATTAGAGACATGTGTTATGTTATAAGTTATGTGTTAACACAGTTTGGCAGAATAACTGGAGGTACAAACTGTAGAAGATATAACACTCCCATGTAAGGCAAATTCTTATTAACTACTAAGTAAGCTGTAAGGGGATGGGGAAGGAAAAAGTAACCAGTAAAACATTTTTTTATGATTTGATTAGTTTTGAACTCTTTTTATGTGGAATGACAAAACACTGTTCAGAGTCTTTGAATAATGCATAACTCAACTGTTGGGCCATTTTGTTAAATAAATAACAAAGACAACATTCATGGACTAAGACTAAACTTATTGTCTTTCCATTTTAGTTTACTAGATTAACACAGTGACTAAATTAGGACATCTAACTAGGATTGTGAACTTGACTAAGACTATGACTAAAATTTAAAATGAAGACTCATTTAACACTGATATACTGAATTACATGAAGATGGTTGTTGAAAATCTGACGAAAGGAGGTGAATGATATAAAAAAACAATGTGAAAGAAAAACCACACTCATATATGTTAATATATACAAGTTTTTGGGTATCACTTTTTAAACAATCTTCTGATATTGAAGCACAATCACCTTATAACAGGGCATAATTTCTCCTTTCTTTAGTGTTTCATTCAAACAAGATTGAGTTATGAACTTAAATAAAATAACCACATTTTTGTATAGTTTACACTCAAAGGTTTCAAATTAATTTTTAAAGCTTTGTTCTCATAAAAAAAAGGTAATAAATGAAAAAATCAACCTTATAATTATAAAACCTTTAAGAGACAAAGTATATATCTTACACTTTGCAGGTAACATGTAACCTCCTGTAATTTTGGCATCACCAGTGTTACATCCTCCTAAAGCAATACATTCTTCTAGCAGGTCAGAATTAGCTGCTTTAAGTATGACATCACAAACTACAGCCAATAATGGAAATATGACAAATGTTTTACCCACACAAATAAACTTCAAAAATGGAAAATACATAATATCTACACAATAAAAAAAGTTTGAGGTGAAAAATCAATAAATGATAAAATACATTTATTTTTTACAGTAGTCTGTATTCGATGACGAGGAACCCACTTTGAGACTAATAATGGCTGGAGATGGCTTGAATGGGTAATGAAGAAAAACTTTAATATAGTTTAAAGTTTTTCTTCATTACCCATTCAAGCCGTCTCCAGCCATTAGTAGTCTGTATTGTTTTTTCAAGGAAATGTGGCTATAGATGTAAAATAATTTTAGTAAGCAAAACAAGTAAATTGGTTTAGAAATGTCTTAATCAACTTGTTTTAAGAACATGACAAAAGTACAGAAGGAAAAATAGAAATTGCAGAGATTTTTTTCTACCAGGATTAAAAAAATAATAATAATGTTACAGGGTAGATTGTCAGCTTATTATTATTCTGAAAATTATTTTCTTCTGACAAACTTAAATAACATTAATTGTAATTCAAGTGATTTTCTGTGTATATTTTTGTAACTTATTATAAAACTGAGATTTTCATTAAGCTTATGTGCATACAGACCAAAAGGCCAGCTAGTTTATAGATTCCTAAGTTTCAGGTATCTGCCTCTAATTTTCAACTACTTAGCAAAGAGGGAAGGCAGCCAACCAGCAGCAAATGCTGTCATAATGGCTTTAGTTGGATCTTTGGACTGAATATATATTGACTGTCACTTTTATTACATACCCACAGCTAAAACTGCAGAATATATTCATAAATGGCATTATATCTCTTGCCTCAAAACTTGCAGGGACTCTTCAACCCTTCACAAAGTCTGGTATGCTAACTATTAGGCCACACACAGCACTTTGTAATCAAATGTGAGAGATTTGGGCCAATTAGTCTCATTGTTTGAATGTGGTATAGTGTACAAGTAGACCTACACAGAATTTTTCTTGAATATGAGCAATATTTGTAGATGTAAATTATTTAAAACATTTGGTTATATAAAAGCTACCAAATGTTTTAGATAAGAATTTTAGTTATAGTAAATACTTTTTAAGTTATTAACAGCATCTGCCCAGTTATCCAGAGATAATTATTAAGATATTGCCAGCATTACAAAAGATAGGCTTAATAAACTGGCTTATTTTTTTTTAAAACAACAACCTGTATCATAGAAATGTACTGTGGTGATATTAACTTGATGTCTGTAAAAACAATATCAAAACTGAGTAAAGATAAATTTTCAATACTTCTGAATTATGATACTTCTTGCTTATGATACTTTATTATAATAGAATCAGTTAATAATACAATAACATTTTGAAATATATCGATGACATAATACATAGGAGGAAGGTGAACTATGAACCCAAACTCTGCTGGATAAAGGATCAGTTATACAAGTCAGTGTTTCACTATTATTCTGTTTGTTATAAAGAATATAGAAAATGTATGTAATACCTCCTCCTAATCCTCCTCTCAGATTTTTGTTGGCAGAATTTACGATAGCATCAACTTCAAGAGAAGTAATATCACCAAAAAACAAAGAAACCTTTCTATTCAAATCATTCTGGATAGGACCAAAGTCATCATCTGATGAAAAAAGAAAAACAAATTAAATAACTATAAAGTTCTGGTGAATATGAAAAGTGTAAAGGTTTGATGTTTTGGACTGTAACTATAGTGGATTCTCAGTTTCAGCACACTTCCATTTGTAGAAACAAAGTGTAGTATATCTTATTCAGGTTAGATATGAAAAGGAAATATAAATCGGTTAAATAAAGTGGGTACAGTTAGTAGAAAAAGTTACAAAATTTGAATAAGGTTAATGTCTTATATAATAATTGTGGTACAGCAGCAAATAAATATAAAGTGTGGTTAAAAATAATTTGGTAAAACTTTTTACTGATTACATCTAGATTATTTGGTCAATTTAAGAAAGAACTAAATTGAAACAGATAAAATGGTCACTTTTTTGTCTTTTAATATATGTAAAAAGTCTTTCTTGAATTCTTAGGTTAGATCAATAAGTTAAACTAAAGTAAAAAAAAAATTAATAGAAAAAAGAAAACCATATCTTATCTAACATAAACTATGAGTGTGTATGTAATGTTTTAAATCTCAATGTTTCAATTAAGGTTTCAAATTTAACTACTCTATTGGAAAAAATAGATTTAATTTGTGTTATTAAATTAACTTACTGTAATATGTATTGCATAGATTAACAATAAGAAATTAAAATAGTTAGAATTACATAGTTAAAACATCTTTTTCTAATTACATTACTTCTGGGATATGACCAACCTAAGTCTATATCAGTTTTGAAAAAGATAAATCATATAATACTCCTACCATTGGATTAACAATTGAACTTCTGAGAAGAAAAGAAAAAAGTAAACACAATTGCACTGGGAAATGAGAAATAGTATACAATGAAGTTGTGCATTGGTTTTCTTTGATAGGCACAAGAAGCCGAACATGTTTTCACAATGTAAGTTTGTAAATTTACTACTGTTCCACCAGGGGACTTATCTAATAAGCTACCAATAATGTATTGTAATGAAAATATACATGCATGAATAACAGACAGTACTTGTATATTATATTTACATTTTAAACACTATAGTTTATTTCCCAAAGTAAATTTCTGAAAAATTATCATATATATATATATTGTGCAAAGTACAAACATTTGTGCAAGCACTGTCATTCCATACTTCTATTTGTTTAAAGCCAGATAGACTTTGTTTCATTTGTTTACTAAATTGTGGAAGCATGTGAAATATGTGAATAATTAGCAATTAAATTTAAACCAATTGCCTCAGAATAGACTTAGTATTACACACAGTTCATTTGATTTGGATGTGTTGTTGGCACATTACAAATGTCTTTCTCTTGCTCTTTTCTTGTAGGACCTTTTATTATGGAGGTCACTGTTAGATTTTCAAAGTTTATCTCAGATAATCCTTCATTGGCTTATGTGTAGGCAAAAGGCAAAAACCTTATAAGACTTGGAACTATAAGTGTGCAATTGTATTCAATTTACCATGTTTGTTTTTCTTAAAGATTGGAAATAGAGAAAGAGATACCATAGGTATCTACAAATGAAACTGACTTAGTCTTACGAGGCTAAAATTAATAGAAGTTGTGTGTATATGTGTAATGTAATAAGTGCATAATGATATTGTAATATATGTAATGATTATGTGTCAAGAGATGCTTGCATCTGAAGGACGAAATGATGATAACTTAATTCCTCACTGTTTTCAAGTGGTTTTCTGAGAAAATTATTGACATTGTGAGAAACTTAAGTGAATTATATATTGAAAATTCAGACTTTCTTCTGATAACTTTTTAACAACTTTAATCTTTTTATCTTAAAGAAGATCAAATCTTTAAGAATTAATTCAATGAAGATGGAAGCAACAAATTTGCAAATATTTCATAATAATATCTTAAAAACAAATTATTTTTTTATAAAATTTTACTTTTGGATTTCTTTGTGATACAAATTTAGTTTCGAAAAGTATACCTGAAATTATATATTTAGACTTTTTTAGAAAGATAAAGGTATGATTTGCTTATGTTATTTTTAATAAACTTTAAACTTTATAAAATTAAGAGTCCAGAATTCCATTACACCTTGATGATTTTTCTTAATGAAACTCTAATGTCCAATATTTTAAAGAGTATCACTACTGAAAAATAATGCTTTTGTATTTCTCAAACCATCTCTTACTTAGGTTTAAACAAATTCTGCTATTTCTGCAACCATTTGTACTTCTGTATTAGATTACCTTTCCATTATGCTACTCATAATTCTGGGATTATATGTACTTACTATTGTTCTTCTGTAGGTATTTAACTCTGTAGTAATCATGCCAAGTTGGAATATCAATCAATGTAATATACTTGGAACATCTATAGATGGCCCTTTTTTCTTTCAATCTCATTTTCAAATATTTTTCTGAAAAATTGAAAACCATCATAAAAGCACGATATTATTAGCAATATCTACCACTGTAATCTCAGAGAAATATAAAACCTAAAATAACTAACATAAAGCAGTGAAGACAAAACAGATTTGAAGGTCTTTTTTTTTTCTTATACAATCTATGAAAGTTAAAATTTTCCAACACTGAAAATGTATTTCCTATAACTACTCACTTAATCCCAGCTAATCTCACACGTTTCAATGTAATATTGCTGCATTGTTGAATGCAAACGAGATGCAACAACCCTCCACGAATAGGTGTGCAACACTGACTCCAAGTGCAGCTGGCTCTCTCTATAATAATTGTTCAGTTATCACATCGAGATTAGGCAATAAAGTAAAATGCACTGAAAGTTGGGAGGAAGGGTGGAGATGAGCATCTATTGGAAATACATATTTACTGTTAAAAAATGTTAACTTCTGATACAATACATAACTTCTTATCACATATAGCTAGAATACTATGTTGAAGTGGTGGAGAGGCTGGGAAGCACTCAAAGGATGCACATAAATGCACCACCCTACACCTTGGAACAGTATAGAGGCACACCTGTTGGAAACCACACCTTGTCTGTACAAGGGTACACTCTTTGCCCAGAGAGGAGGGGAAGGGAAGTGTTGAAAGAATGGGCAGAATATACAAGCATAGAACCTGCATCAGGTTTATGGAAGTGCTATACGTGTACTGTGGCTAGGGTATGTCAAACTGTACATGTTGGGTCATCTTCAGTCTGAAACCAGGCAGCACCGGCAACTTGGCTTCAGGGCTGAAGTAGAAGTAGGGTCCCTACCATCTTCACTTCAACCCCAGTGAGGCAGAACGGATACTTAACATCCAAACTGCAACTAAGTGAGGATTTATATTGGGTGGTCCTGAGCCAATCCAATACTAGACCACCTGGGAACCTGACATCTAAGCAGCAGAAGGAGAAAAAGCCAGCCAGAGGGGTGAACTATATTATATAGACAGAATGCCACCACCCTATTTTCTAGTGAGTGGAATTGGTCAACTCAGGAGGCAGCCTCCATGGTCCACTACCTCTTCAGCTAGGAACTGGTAAGTGGCAAGGCCTCCCATGCTTCACTAGAATTAAAAAGGGTGGATAAAAGTGCATTGAGGAGCCTGGAGGAGTGCATCATCATAAGACAGTGCAATGGGTGATCATGAAAACCCTATTTTTCAAAGTAGGCCAGCATTAGGTTTTAAACTAGGCATTGAGGATGATGGGCAGGGATTCCCTGCCTGCTTTACTCATGATAGCCAGTTTGGATCAGGTCTTATTTAGGATAATGAGCACCATGAGGATATCTTGAGCTGTCTTTCAGGACACACCATCTTATGGTTGAGTGCTATATCAGGCTAGGATGGCCCTGAACTGTGCGGATTTTGTATAAGTATACTTTGACAGGCAATATTTGCCACTGAGTGGAATCTTGGGATGTGATGACCCTAGAAAAACATTATAAAAAAAAAGAAAATCCCAGTCACAGATGGTATAAGATGTGAAGAATAGCGACTGGAGGTAGTTCATAGCCCAACAAAGAATAAATAGCCAAACCAGTGGGAGGGATCATCCAAATGCAGTCCAAATAGGTTTTAAGTGAGAGATAGTATACGGAACAGGAAGCCAAAGGGTCAATGGAAGGAATGGCAAGGGCATGGATAACAAAATTAAGGTCACAGTTAGAAAGGTGGGGAGGGTAAAGGAAGTGAAAGGAATGTAAGAGCACAGTAAGAATTGGGGAAGGAAAAATGTAATAGAAATGGGAAAACTGGAAATTAGTAGTGAGAACCACTGAGTAACTAGCAATAGTTGAGACAGATAAGCCCTGGTCAAAACACCAGGTGAAAATCTTAGATAGATGGGGAACAGAAGGATGAAAAGGAGGAAAAAATGATGCAGTGTCCAATGGCAAAAATATGCCTTTTCTGCTGAAACCCCAAAACACTGGGACAGGAGGAAGGCTACATGCAAAGAGAGTTCAGAATGTTATGCAAGTGACCAGACAAATGAAACTGGAGGAACAACATGGCAGAAAGAAAGAGAGAACTATGAGAATGAAGAAGAAGAGGTATGAGAAGAGAAGAGGAAGGGGGCATCAAAAGGCTCAACAGAGGAAACCACAACTGAGACAGCTACAAGGGCATCACCAAAAGGACCTGAAGTGGAGTGTCCTAAATGAGGGAGATAACACAAGGGAGGAGACAAGTAGACAGTACGCATAAAGGAAGTGGTTAGACCATTCCTAAAATACATCTGCTGCTAGTGTTGATGGATGTGAAACAGGAGACCAGAATAGGAAAAACCTGGCATTGTCATAAGGCATCAATGTGAGTGGTGCCCAGATGAGAGCAAAACCATTGAAAAACACAAGGATTGAGGAACCACCCAGTGGGAAATATATTTTTGGGTCTTGAGAGATGATCTGTGACAAGATTCAGGACACCTGAAACATGATAGGCCAGAAGGTAGACTTGTAAAGAATGGGCCCAGAAGAAGAAGAGGTTGAGAAACAGAGAGAGTGTGACCGAATGCTCCCTGGCAATTGACATAGGATGCTACATTTAAGTTGTCCAAATACATTATTACCATACAGTCTCATACAACTAGAAGAAAATGATCCATGGCCCAAAGAACTGCTAAAAGTTCCAAAAATTTGATATGAAGGATAAATTCCTTCAGATTTTATTAATCCAAAGTATCGAAAGAGTCAATACAAGTGCCCCACCTCATCAGGAAGCATCAGCAAAAATATGAAGATCCAGACATAAGGGAAGAAGAGGTACATCCTCAGTAGTATTGTTCCTGTCAAGCCACCAGGTGAAATCGTCATACAGGAAAGGAGGAAGATGGATAAGGGAAAACAAGGGATCATGAGAGAGGTTCCACATATTCATGCAGAGTCTATTGAAAAAATGCATGTGAGCACATCCCCAGGGAATAAGGAGTTCCATGGAAGCCAAGTTCACACAAGAAGATAAGGTGAGAACAGAGCTGTGGAAACCAGACTTTCCATGACCAACAAAGAAGTGGAGAATGTTGAGCCCTGCTAAGCTGGGAATCAAAGTGAACCAGATATTGAGTGGGTGTGATATGAGACTTCTTCAGCTTGATTAGCAACCAAGACAAGCTGGCTTCCTAAGGAGAAGAGTGGTCAGAGAAGTCATTTTGGGATGAAGCTAAAAGAAGCAATTTGTCTATGACTGAAAGTAAAGTCTGGATGTTGGAGAGATGGGAATGTGAAGAAAAAAAAAGACCATCAGAAGGTGAAAAAACTCACCATGGAAACAGAGGAAGGTTGAGAAATTGATGGAAATGTGACAGAATGATGACCAGATGCCAAATATACAAGGAAATGAAAAACAGATGGAGATATATTCTGGAGAAGGGGGTGAGAAACACTTTAGATAGCATCCTAGGCTAAAAGGACTGACACTGTTTTGGAGAGATGCCAGTGGGAGACAAGATCTGATCCCCTGTAGAAGGAAAATAATTGGCAGATGGAGAAAAGGGACAAGGAGAGGAAAAATGATGGGTAAGGCCAATAGATAGAACCTGTAGCCTCTAGAAGTTGGCTGCACAAGGAATCCATAGGGCCATAAATCAAGCTAAACAGGTCTCACTGTTCCTAAGCCTAGAGGATAGTCACCAACAACACTGTCATTGCTGAAACCAGTGGATGATAGAAGAACAGAGAATGGAAAGGAGTCAGGAGGGTGGGAGCCAGCAACTGGAAGAGAAGGAGTTTCAAAAAGGTGGGACACAAAGGTAGTCAAGGAAAAATCTTGGTACGTGGCCACAGCCTGTGACTACAAAGAATCAGGTATTCCCCAAAAACCTATTGATAGAAAACATTAGCCAGAAAAGGGTTCCCAAGATAAGCAGGAACTAAATGTATTTGAGCAAGAAGGGCATCCCTCCTCAGAAAATACCAGCAACAGAGTTATCAAGTGAGAAGGGACAATGCCAAAGAAGAAAAATGCATCAACAAAGAAAAAAGAATGGAAAGAGTTTCCATTAAAAACTCCTCAGGGGAACTGTGAATTGCTTCCAAATGGAGATGGAAGGATGAAAGATAATTTAAAAAGGCAATGAAGGTAAGGTAAAAGTGTGAAAACTGAGCTAAAGAAAGAATAACAGAAGACAATGGATCAGAAACCCAAGACTGAAAAGAGTGAGAGTGCAAATTTTGGGAGTGAGAAATTTGGCTTGTTTTGAAATTTGCACAAAGCTACATGAGGGATATTTTTACTAATTGTCCTTAATTTAGCAATGATAGACCAGAGGGAAGGCAGCTAGTCAATACCACCTACTGCCAACTCTTGGGCTACTCTTTTACCAACAAATGGTGGGATTGATTATCACATTATAACACCTCCACAGCGGAAACGGAAAGCATGTTCGGTCGATGAAAATTTGAACACGCAGCGTGCAGATTGCAAGTCGAGTGCCTGATCCACCAAACCCTGTCAGACCTGAGTATGGGAAAAGACTGCCAAAAATTGGCACTTCATGGACAGGAATTATATGAAGAGAGAAGTCCTTGTCAAGCCCTGAAAAAGGTCCAAGCAATATGCAAGATTCCACTACCCACCACACGATGGCTGTCACATCATCTGACAGACAAAGAAGCACCCAATGCCATTTTGGTAGTTAGTCTAGAGTGAACAAAAGTCCTGATGTTCAACCTTAGAGATTGTGGAAATGACCATCTCTGTGTAATTCATTTTGTGAAAAATAAGAGCCACAAAGTCTGCAGAGATAGAATTGTTTGAAATTAAAAATAAAAAATATTTCCACAAAAGTTGGTTTTGTACGTACTTCAACAAAATTTTGATGTTGAAAAATCTCACACAAGTGAAAAAAAGATGTCTGAACACGAGTGCCAAATAGAGAAGTGATGATTGAACAATCAGTATAGAGAGAGCAAACTATATTTGGAGATGGTGTTGCACTCCTATTGGTTGAGGG